TTGAAAATTTTTTTTTTTTTTTTTTTTGGTAAAATCGCATTCATTCATCTTCTTGACCAGTAAAACTAACATTCAAATGCTTCCAGCATATGTACAGAAAGGTATCAGGATTAACTGATAGTAGCCAATGGAAACAACGATCACTCAGTTTGTTATACAAACACTTGGCCTAAGTCCCAGTAAGCTAGACTAGTTTTTTTTTGCTGGTCAAAAACACGGAACTGAAAATCAGATGCCAGAGGAATAACAAAGCAATCTTATACCACGCATGGACACTTTTTAACTGCCTAAAATAGTTTTGATATCAACTCAAAAACAAGCTGGATGGATTAACTTGGTAAACTACATATTAAACTTTCCATGACTACTCTAATAATAACTAGGCAACAACAATGACTATATTTTGTTAACATCAATGTTTTAGCACTCCTCAGACCTTTCTTATTTATTATGTCTGTGACACTACAGATACAATGGTATCATTACAAACCAGAAGATTATCCAACGTGTCCTCGACGGGTAAAAAGAACATTCAGCGCCACGCTAAATCTTCAGTGTAGGTCAATATATTTTCCAAGTTTTTTTTTAATAAATTCTTTTATTTTATAGTATAACAAAGGTATCTTTTCCATGTTTAATACCAATTTGGACGTATTTAGAGAGAACTCACCTCAGAGGCAACATATTGATCTGATGCTGTAGCTACTGTAGCACAACAAATCCAGAGCAGTACCAGGATAGACAGGATCAATGTGGCTGTGAGGAGCCAGTTGGAATTCCTGCAAAAATAAAATAAACTATAGTAGACTGTAGTCTATCTAGAATGATAGTCACGATCTATACAACCTGCTGTGGGAAATAAAGACTTGTTTACACGGGTTTTTTACCTGTGTTTGAGGTGCGTTTAAAATGCATGTCAAACGCAGGTTAACGGAATCCCATTTACTTCAATTGTACATTGTATATGACAGTTCTGAGGCTGCAATTCACCTTCGTAGCATTGCATTTCTGTGGATACAGCATGCTCTTTTGTAGATGCTTTTGCAAAGCAAGCCAAGCTAGTCAAAACACAGCCTTTTCCATTGAAGTGTAAAAGTCTGTGTTTAATGGCACTGCCCATAAACCACTGGACATGGAGACAGTGTGCTCATAAACCACTGGACATGGAGACAGTGTGCTCATAAACCACTGGACATGGAGACAGTGTGCCCATAAACCACTGGACATGGAGACAGTGTGCCCATAAACCACTGGACATGGAGACAGTGTGCCCATAAACCACTGGACATGGAGACAGTGTGCCCATAAACCACTGGACATGGAGACAGTTTGCAAACACATGTGGAAGAAAAGTCACAGCGTCTTACAGGGTTATTCACAGAAGGGTGAAGAGTTTGGAGAAGTCAGGAGAAGTGATCTAGGACAACATAGCTGAACTGGAAAGTGAGCCGAACTGGAGAATTTTTCCAAATCAGATATTTTGGCCTAGATTGTTCACTTCTCCTGCCTTCTCCAAACGCTTCACCCTTTTGTGATTAACCCTGTGATTGGATACAATTCACGCTGTGAATCCCATGTATCTTGCCTGTATTGCCCTTAAATTCTGCTCTAGAAAATGACACTTGGAATTCCACAGTTTGACTCTTGTTAGTTGATCTAGGATACCTATAATATGTTAATACCAAACATTGATTTATGAGCACATTACACAAAAGCATGGTCATATGGGAGAAACAAGCTAACACAATTATCAAGTGTGTTGACATTATAATAATGTGGGCGAAATTCCATTATAATATACCTATAGATCACTACATACATAGCTAGACACTTCATAATGCTGCCTCCTCTTTCCAATTCCAGAAGGTCACCTCTTCCGCTCCATGGTCCCTCTCCTGCATGGCCTTCAGATGCTAGGTCTACTACAATATAAGACACAATCTTTTAAATCCATGACATAAAAATGGGAGGATAACTCTGACATACAAAGAACTGGATCATATCACATATGTCTTGTATTAAACTTACATTGAACTGAATCCAGCAAGTTGACTCTTGAAGATGGGTTTTCTGAATACACTGGTGGTATTTGCTGAATTTCTGGCTGAGACTGACCAGGCAGTGGGCAAAAAAAAAAAAGAAGAGAAGAAAAAAAATAAATAATACATTTTAATTGCTCAAATATTCTGCAAGTAACATACTTTCTAAACAGAAGAAAAGCAATTAAAAAAACCTGTGAAAACCTAAAATTAAAAAGTTTTAAAGTTTCATATTATGCGACACAATCTACTAACAATATTCATATCAATGTATGTAAAAGACTCGACTCCTATACAAAAATGGAGATGTGATATCTGAGAAGTTCAGTCTATTGTTCTATAATAGTTGCCCCTGAAAACTCAATAAAAAGACAGTTAGTAGTTTTCTTCCTGAATAGGAAGCCAGCTGTGTGCGAGAAAACACCGATCCCCACTACATTGGATTAAACATCTTCTGTATTGTTGTATTGAAACTATTAGTTATCATCTTCTTTGCCATTCTGTAAAGCGATAATTGATAACATGCGTAGTTACTAGGGATGCGCCTATACCGATACTAGGATCAGTGCCAATGCCGAGTATTTGGGCGAGTCCTCGTACTCACCCAAATGCTCCAATGCCTAACCCAATACTTCTAGTATCAGGAAGCCGGCTCCATGCTCCTTCGTCACTTGTGAGGAGAGAGCATGGAGCCAGCTTCACGGCCAATCAGGAAGCTGGGCAGCGTGTAATGACTCGCTGCCTGGCTTCCTGATTGGTTGGGAAACTGGGCAATCAGGAAGCCGGGCGCCGTGTAATGAGACGGCGCCAAGCTTTCTGATTAGCCAGGAAGCCGGCTTCATTCTCCCTCATCACCTCATGACGAGGGAGCATGGAGCTGGCTTCCCAGCCAACCAGGAAGCCGGGCGCTGTCATTACACAGCGCCCGGCTTCC